AATAAACGGACATGTTGTAATAGAAGTGAACTTCATCAAAACGGTCTAAATCAAACAATTTATGCCGAATACCATAGAGAACCGATCGGTAGATTGTTTTGTCGAGTGAAAGGTGTTATCGCCCAGACTAGATACAGATGATTTTGTCTGTATAATAGGTCGTGTTCATTCAACAAATTACAATTGTGCAACCATCAAATGTTTGGGAAAGTTCCAATTTACCAAATCATGATAGGTCACAATTCTCTCTGAAGCACCTGGGAAATAATACACAAGACACAAGACTTATTGAAACCATTTATTCGGCGATAAACTTTAATCAGGGGTATATTAAGATATTTTACCGCATACGTTCATTACAAGGACCTGTGTCTACAACGTTAACATCTTAAATGTTAGACAGATATAAAAACATTTTAAAATGTACATTTTACCCCCTAACGTTGCGTTTAGATCTGTATCGTAGCTAGTAACTATTTTTTCTTCATGGAAAACTCTTCAGGCCGGATTTTTGTATTACTGTAAGCATGTGGATGTACTTACCACATTACATAACAGTGATTATGTGCATATTTAATAAAGGGTGCATTTCTGTGTAGAATAGATTGATAGACAGTTCGGTTCCTCCAGGAATCGAACCCGGGACCCTTGGCTTAATAGTCTGACGCTCAACCAATCAAGTTAAAGAGAAGTCCTCTCTAGGCGAGTAGTATATTGGGCTAGTTTTTTTACCATGGTTACACGTCGTTCCTTACAGCCAATCTGATTATATACGAAAACAACAATAACTACAGGTATTCGACCTAAAATGTATCGCACTTGGTCGAAAATTGCATTGTCGCATAACATTTGACAAAGAATCGACAGAATGAGGAAATAACCTTGACGGTTTGAAAGGAGACGTAAACCAATCGTCGATAACCTGGATGATACAAGGTTTGGCTTTGAGTAACGTATCTTTATTTATATGAAATCCAATGTCATTCTCATCATTATGGATAAATACTAACCTGTTGTGATTGTTTTCTTTGACAAAGATATTCGTGTTATATGACAAATACAATGGAGACTAACACCCGAGGTTCATATTAACCTATTATAATTATGTTTCAGAACAATCATTTTCTGACATCATTTATTTTTCCTTATAATGTAGATATAAATATATTTGTATATTTTTTGTTATTTTTCTTTCTAGTATCCGATGTTTTAAACTAATTGTAAATATATATATATATAATACAGACACTACGTGAGATGAAGCGCTAAATAGGGTTATCTAACCGTTTATAGAATTGAAAACGACGTGTCTATTTTGTCTATCATTCTGTCGTACTAAAAGTTGGTTGTGAATCCATTAAGTCATGAAGGATAGTCTCTGTTAATATTACGAAAACGCTGTATTTTTATTTTATTCTACTTTATCATTTTCTTGATTAGCATTGAAGGGTGCTAGTCATTTGTGTGTCTAGAGTACAATCCTCTTTCAACTATGAATAAGTAAAACTATTTAATTCTCTTTTTAATTCACTACACAGATATTCTGAATGATGCTTCTTTCCTCAAACCATTTCAAGCAATTCCATCCACTATTATAAGTTATATATATATACAGGAAAATAGTAGGATTGTTCTTTTATTTAATGCATTCAAGGATGAAACTGAATATGGTTTCAATATCAAATTTATTTTCTAAGTATTTCGATCGGGAGTTGATTCTATTCTCTAGAGTAGTAAAAAAAATGTATATCCAAAACTATGCTATTTTATACTGATTCCGACTCACAGCATCAGCTATACTACTCGTAGTCCAAGATAGATGATCTATTACCACATGGTAAATATTTAATCCTTGTGGCTCTCTGACTACATCTATAAATATAAAGCAAATCCATACTACAACATCGTTCTAAATTTTATACATATGTACTTCAACTGATTCGTCGCTGACGTGTGTGTTCTATGATTAGATCTGGTGACCATTTCCTTGGCTGTTGACCTTATCAGAACATACCTCTGAACTTCTGTTTTGACGAATAGTCACAACACCTTATTACGTTACTCTAAGCTAGCAGAAGGAATCATGTCTCTTTGTAAAACATTCGATTTCTTAATCTGTCTCAAAAAAGCTCCGCGGTGTGAACGTCCTTACAAGTTATTAAGGTACAAGTTACGTGTGCAGTCATTAATCTATGGTATTTACTATCAAACAGTATTAGCGATCCCCGACTGCGTGTGGCCTGTTCGCCACGTGTATCTGAGTGATATAGAAGGTTACATGTCATCAAGATGGCCAATTACGTTTAGTCGAAATTGACGCCATGCACGGTTACTGTATATCTATGCCGAGTAAACAGAGACATATATTACAATTACATATAAACAGACACAAAACTGACATCACTGGAATCATTTTATATGTAAACAGAAAAATAAGCGCGAACTTGAAGTTTGGGTGACTCAATCATGTTAATGAAAATAAAAAATCTGTGATGAGTAATCCCTGGTCCCACCCCCTTCCGTATCAACATAATAAATTCATAATAGAATATCTGTATATTTCTACGGGTTACGGTAGTGGAGTGGTCGCGGAGTGCTTGGAGTCTATGGAATGAAATGATATTTGGTTGTTTGTCAACTGACAAAGAATTAGATCTATTAAAGTAAATAATGATATATCAATATATTTATATTTACTAAATGAAATGAAGTCAATATTCTTCTAATCATCAAAAAAAGACGTTTCGGTACACTGTAAATTATAACGGAAGTGTAGTTAGGTATTTACACTTTACTGTGACAGATTTCTTACGGAGCGAATTGTAACGGGGGTTTGATGAACTCAATATAAATTGAAATATAAGTGTTGCGAAATTGTAATGATTTTAAAATGATTACACTAAAAATTGTAACGGAAGTGTAACTTTATCATAACACTGTAAATTATAACGGAAGTGTAGTTAGGTATTTACACTTTACTGTGACAGATTTCTTACGGAGCGAATTGTAACGGGGGTTTGATGAACTCAATATAAATTGAAATATAAGTGTTGCGAAATTGTAATGATTTTAAAATGATTACACTAAAAATTGTAAATTGTAAATTATAACGATTTTAATTTAACTTTACTGATTTCTTACACTTGTAAAAATTATAAATTGAAATATAAGTGTTGCGAAATTGTAATGATTTTAAAATGATTACACTAAAAATTGTAACGGAAGTGTAACTTTATCATAACACTGTAAATTATAACGGAAGTGTAACTTTATCATAACACTGTAAATTATAACGGAAGTGTAGCTTTATCATAACACTGTAAATTGTAACGGAAGTGTAACGATATCACAATGAAAGTTTTACACAATGAATTGTAACGGATGTGTAACAAATTATATGATCAGTGTGTACCTATACATCTAGACAGAGAGACTGGATTCTACTCGTTATTGTATCTATACATTTGGTCCTCCTTTCAAGAACGTGACATTGATAGGATCGACCGAAACAAACACGTCTATGACCTAGAGAACTGGCATCCTCCAAACACCTGATCCCATTGTTATTGTTTGTGTATAATATTTCCCTTCTTTCATTTGTCCAATTTTTATCGATTTTGTGTTAGAACAGCGATAGTGTTGACATACTAGTATTTTCTTTTTGTTTTTCTATAAACAGCTGGAAAAACCCAGTACATGTTGATCAACACCTCAGTTACAGAAATACACGAGACAAAAACACTGTCACTGCTATAAAATATGACATCATGAAAAAAGTCAGTAAAATGCAAACTATTGTGCGATGTATCATTGCAAATTAGCATAGCTACTGAAAGTCAATAACATAGGGATTAGCATTATTACAGACATAGGGTACAGTATAATCACAATTACTACAGAGATAAATAACTAATTAATAAAATAATAAGTTATGAAATACTAATATTACTGCAAGATAAATTTGTATGAATATTGTCGTCTCTACTGAGAGTCAATACCGTATGAATTATTACTACTGAGAGTCAATACCATATGAATTATCTTTACTGCTGAGAGTCAATACCGTATGAATTATCTTTACTACTGAGAGTCAATACCGTATGAATTATCTTTACTACTGAGAGTCAATACCGTATGAATTATCTTTACTGCTGAGAGTCAATACCGTATGAATTATTACTACTGAGAGTCAATACTATGAATTATCTTTACTGCTGAGAGTCAATACCGTATGAATTATCTTTACTACTGAGAGTCAATACCGTATGAATTATCTTTACTACTGAGAGTCAATACCGTATGAATTATCTTTACTACTGAGAGTCAATACCGTATGAATTATCTTTACTGCTGAGAGTCAATACCGTATGAATTATTACTACTGAGAGTCAATACCGTATGAATTATCTTTACTGCTGAGAGTCAATACCGTATGAATTATCTTTACTACTGAGAGTCAATACCGTATGAATTATCTTTACTACTGAGAGTCAATACCGTATGAATTATCTTTACTACTGAGAGTCAATTCCGTATGAATTATCTTTACTACTGAGAGTCAATACTGTATGAATTATCTTTATTACTGAGAGTCAATACCGTATGAATTATCTTTACTGCTGAGTGTAAATACCGTATGAATTATCATTTCTACTGAGAGTCAATACTGTATGAATTATTACTACTGAGAGTCAATACCGTATGAATTATCTTTACTACTGAGAGTCAATACCGTATGAATTATCTTTACTACTGAGAGTCAATACTGTATAAGTTAACATTGGAAATATATACCATGTGAATTATCGCTATAACAGAATACCTATTACAGTATGAACTGTCTCAGCGTGAAGGACTAAGACTGTGCAGCAACTGATAGATGTAATGCACTCTTGGGGAATGTTCCACTGTTAAAGGAATGAATTATGCTCGGTACAACTTGTTTCAGTTTATGGTAAAGTGGGGTGTTAATAATTAACTCTTTATCAAAAATTGGTTCGTCAGTTCAATATTATGACGTGACATAGGGGTGTGTTTACGCATGCGCCATGAAGAAGCAAAGTATTAGGATACTGATAAACCTATATGAGTACATGCATGTCCACTATTAAGGTCTCTCTTCTGTAGCAGGTTGGACGGCACGTTCTGATTGCAGTGGTCAATAGTGGTGGACTTATATCGAAATGTCTTCAATTGAAAACATAGTCTTGTTGCTGTTCGGACTTCTAAGCTGTTCCAGCGCGGAAGGTAAGCGCCTATTTTATACATAGACCAAAAGGTAACACATTCGTAATCGGTAGATTTATAATTGTTTAACATGTGTATTATACGGGTTGTTGCCAACCAGCTGTATAACTATATAACTGTCAGCGATAAGCGATGCCAACAATTCGTAACATGTATATTGTTTAAGGTTAGACAATTATAGCTTTCTTTTTGAACAAGTTTTAATTTTGCAAAATAAGGATTTTGCACAAATCTTTAAAACCATAGCTATTCTTAACAATATATGTAAATTACTTACAGCGTTTTCAAAACTGGTATGTTAAAAAAGTCACTTAAAATCAAGTGCAGCCGGCAATATCCCGTATTAGCCTTTTTGAGAAAATATTAAATGTTTTACCCTAGTATCATAAAAATTTATCGATCGTTTTGTCGTTGAAGACCTAAAGAGGACATTATAAATATCCTGAATTAGGTTACATACCTCGATAAGATAACGTGTATAGTGAGATTAAATATTACACACGTTTAAACGTCTTACCTATCGCTCTACTCCGGTCGGCCTTCTACAGTGACGTATCAGGGTCAGATTAAAACAATTATAGTGTCATCATGATGCACGGGTGTCGTCAATGAAGCAAACTACGCGTATCTTCCAATACACCTGGTCTTATTCTCCTTGTAATTTTACAAGAATATCCGTGTTAAGATTTCTTTTGTTCATATCTAGCTCTAGTTTTATTGAATTTGAGTTAAAATTATGATTATGTTGACATGTTGGTATTTTCTTTGTTGGACTTCCATAATTGTAATATGCAAGATTTGGTTTTATTCTCAGAGTTTTCAATACTGCAATTCATTATTAATTTCGACGTAAATTTTCTTGAATAAATGAACATGGTATTTGATATCTTTGTAAAGGAAGGGGAACTGATAATGTTCTCACGTGTGGTACACTCAGAAAATACCATTAATTCGCTAAATCTGAGGCTGTGCTTTGATATCAAATCTGCAATCTGTCTTAGTCTGAGAGTAATCCCCAGTGCTAGAGTTAGGATATTATGTAGGCATGCCACTATTTTAATATGTACAATTAGGAATTTGCAAGATTTTTCCCGTACATGCTTATTCTGCGAATAAATCATCCTCTGGGTTCCTATTGTCGGTGTGGAGTTGTATAAATGCGTTATTGTCCAACCTAATCAGCTTATCGGTAAGAAAATGCATAGTTTCTTAACGTGCGAAATGTTCAGTTCGTCAATAGTAATTTGTTCGTCCGAAGAGCTCATAGTGTTTCCTGCACCGCGAACAGACACGTGCTTCTCCTCGACATTACGTCACTAGTAATTATCCAACATTGTATCAGTGTTAACTAGGTAACATAAAAGTATCTCGGGCGTTTATCGTCGTAAGCATCCTAATCTGAAATACTCTCTCATATTTGTACAAGCAATGCTATGGACTGTGTTGCACGTGATGACGTTGAGCTCTGAGTTACACAGACGCTTGCGTCGTACATTTTATACAACTGGTTCCTCCTTTAACGTATAAAGCGTTACGAAGACGAGACTAAGATTAAACATGTGACCATACTGGTTGATTTGTGATGCTCTTGTCACATGTTTCATCAATTTTGTGTTAATGTTTCGATTTTACTGACAAATCGGGTTTTCCTTGTATAGTTCCATGAACAATATTGTTGAATATTTCTGAGATTAACTCTGTTTTTACTATCAAAGTTAAGATATTATTTTGGTGTTTTCACTTTGCATCATCAGCATCTCACCATTATAATGTGTACCTTGTTTTGGCGGGACAGTAACAAGATACGGTGACTACTCAGATCGTTCATTTATGTCAACTTGAAATTGCACCAGGAATATCAGTAAATAGTGATGCCAAAAAGACGTCATAGCGAGAAACGACAGGATCATTTAAGAAATGGATTTTTTTTATTATTTTGCGAAACTTCTCTACCAAGTAAAATCTTTGTTTTGTTGTCTTTATGTGGAATTCAACAGCGTAACTCCCATTTCTATTTCATCTGCGTGTCTTTTGTAGACTTTTTTTTAAAGAATTGACGTCAGGGACACAGGTGTGGATATCTACCTCACCATTTCCATTAGTACGTTAAACATTTCATCTGATTTTTTCCCCTTAAGATATTATGTTATAACTGTATGTAGGGTGTTTCAGTACTTTTCCATCGCTGGTATTTTGATCGTTTTTTCCCTATACAATTCCACTGATTATGTCATTCTTTACCGTCCTGTTTCAATTACCTCTATCCTATCGATTTTACTGATACTGAGAATCACTCTGCGCATGTGCGCGAAGCTGTCGTTTAAATTTTGGATTTAATTCATCACACACAAAAGTTGGCCTTCTGCTGTCTTCCGTAGGTGTTAAAAACCAGTAAATACCCCACTGTGAGTTAAGAAATATTATCAAATGTATCAATTGCCAATTTATTAGCTACCTAACAACCATGTATGCTAAATTAATCAGTTAGGACTTCAGCGGTTTACCGAGCCCAAAGCCCATATTCTACAGATAAGCGACGCTTTTTTTTCGACTTCGGTGAAAAAAACACAAAAAACAATTACTATGAAAACGTAATAATTCGTATTGTCAATTTTCTAGTACTAAAGGCAGGGCAAAGTATAGTTTGAAAAAGGCAAACACTGTGAATTAAACTGCAAATTATTTAAAAGAATATAATAACAACGTAGCAATAAAAAAAACTATTAACTTTATTTATTTACAACAATTGCGAAACAAATTAGCACAACTTATACTAATCACTCTTGTTGACCCGGATGTAAGCGCGTGAGAGGTCCTATTGTGGGAGGAAGCCGAAGTACCCTGGGAAACCCACGTGGTCGGGCAGGTGACCGTTAGCTTTTCACGCCCGTTACAGGAGTCGAACCCAGGACGGCTAGATGAATGGCGAGTGCATTACCACTGCGACACCCGAACATGTAAACAATTATGATATATCGAGTGTAATTGAGCTAGGTTAAACTATATGACATTATCTACACTTGTATCTCTATCTACCTGAGTGACGTAAGTAAATTTTATCAGACTAAGTAAACACTATAACACTTATAGATGGTAGTATTATACCGATATCAAGAAAACCTGGATTAATTGACTTAGCATTCTAACACAGTTGGTTTATAAACATAGTTCCATATAACTGTAATATGTATTTTCCAGCTAAATTCGTGAGAGGTTATAAAGGTCAATACGGAGATTTTCTCCTGGATGTTGAACAGTGACTTGACTGGTAAACTGTTTGTACAAACTTAATTATGTTTCCACGCCGCTTTTCACCAGGTCATCAGTCGAATATTAATTCTCCAGAATTCTGCCTCCCACTCAGGAGTAGATTAAACATTCATTAATACCGGTTATCCTAAACATTCTAGATATATCTAGGTATCTGCGTCTGTTATTTCATGATTCACCCCTAATCGTGCTTAGTTATTTTGTGGATATTACTTTTGTCAAGCATGCTGAACTATCTTGGGGCTTATTATTCAGTGCAATCTATACCAATTCAACTCAAGTGAAAAACGATGATAAAGTCAAGTGCAAGGACCTGTACAACTTGTCACCTGGCAGACTGAAAGACCCCTACAACACAGTAGAGATTAGTATTGGCACTATGTACGGGTGTACTTGATTAGGAATCAACTAACTGTTTCAACCCGAGTTTTTTTTCTTTTTTTCGTTTAGATATTTAAAAGAATTTCAAATGTATAGTTTGGTGTATTTATAGTGTACAGCATGGTGCATTAACATGTTAACTCCTCTAGGCCTTCTGTATCAACTTTCTGAACCGTTAAATGGTTGTTTTTAATCCCGTGAAGCTGGTTGAATATAAACTATCACAAAAACAAAGCATACATGCACAGCATGTACACAGTCATCGGTTTGCATGAGAAATTCCACAATAACATTCATCGAATTAACATTAAATCTTTCTTACGGAATCCAACTCGGGGATGTTAAAGCCATCAGCTGTGCAGCGCGTGCATCGCGAGGCGGTGGAGGATGGCGCTGCAGTGACTGAGAACTGGTGTAATGGTACCACATGTGGGTGTGGGCTATTGATGGTTCTAAGACACCCTGGGGTATCACAATGTTTTTAAAACCAAGCAACATCGGGACAAGAAATTACTTCTCAAAGTTTTTTATAAAAAAAATAACATTTTTCTTCATACGCTGTAATTAGATATGCGATATAGCATTAAGTAAAATACAACATTTAAAAAACGAAACCTGTGATTTGGAATTTAGTTTAGAATTATATTCCCAACGCATTATGTAAACAATACATATTTTTTTATCTAATGGTTAATGTAATATCAGATAAAACTATTATTGTACTGTAGACCTGTCAGCAGCTGCAATAATATCATGTTTACAGATATTGACGCAGCGGTCATTACTGGCTACGATTTGACTAAACATCACAGAACACGTCACACATAGCATCGCCAGCACGATCATTAGGTACGTTTGAATATCACGATATAATAACAATCACTAACATGCACTTTAGATACGTTGATGAAGTATTACCTAGCGACCTAATGTTTGTTAGATGGATGTTTACCATATTTGTATTTTAGTTTTAAAAATAACATGAATATACCAATATGCAGAATCACAAACCAAACTCAAACTCAATAATACTAGTGCAGAATAAAACAAAAGAATGGTGATAACGGAGACTCGTGAAGGAACACAAGGAGAATACGACCAGGTGTTCCGGAAGAGTAAGCATCGTCTGTTTCGTCGACGACACACGCCGTGTCAGTCTTCGTCAATCCAAGTAAGCAATGTCGCATTCCCAAATGAGAACAAGGTATACAACAACGGTACCAACAAGCACACTAACAAGCATCAACACAAATCGCTCAATGAAATAGAATATTTCTCAATGAGATCACTTTGTCGACCGTAAAACCGCCCAATCATTGTCATTATTTTAGTGTGTCTGTCAGGTGTCG